CACTATTCCCATTATACTAGGATGGCGTTCATTGTGGAAGGATCTTATTCCAGCTCCAAATNTGAGCCTTATTCACGTCTACAGTGCGCATAATTTATGAAAAGACAAACGGGTTAATTCCCCCGAGACCTTCGTTAGGTAAGCACCCCTAAGTGAGATGAGCGGGGTTTGTTTGTTTGTTTTGTTTGTCTTTAAGTGCAGGCGTAATGTAAGTATACTTGGAATCTGCCTTGAGTGTGAAGGGGTAAAATGTACCTAACTTCAACTTTACTTGGCAATGGCGGATCCAGGGGAGGGGCCTGGGGGGCCCGCCCCCCTTTTATTTTTAGACGAAACTGAGGCCCGAATGGCCGAAAAAAAAAAACTTTTTGGAGACCAGTCCCCCCTCTTATCTCAGGGTCTGGATGTTATTTTATTTTCATTACATTGAGTCTTAAATAGGTTATAACCGTACAATGTACGATTCACACGTCATTCCTTCCTGATTTCGGTTTTTCTGACAGGTTCATCAGAGGGATTGAAATTCATGCTACGACAAGTTTACCTAAGGTTTGAATCTCTTTACTTTTAAGTCTAAAAAATGTATCCTTTGCATTGAATCATTTATCCTGTCTTTGAGATGTTAAATGTGACACTCACAAATTGTTTTTCTCCAGGGTCTCCTAGAGTCAGTGAATGTTGAACCAACCCAGGGAGCTATCAAATACATCATATCAACAAAGGTGTGATTATCCTTGATAAATCCATAAGCACTATTCCCATTATACTAGGATGACGTTCATTGTGGAAGGATCTTATTCCAGCTCCAAATATTCGATCTGGTAGACACTCAATAGCATCCACCGAAAGGCCATTGGACACTTTATGAAGTTTGCACAGCGTAGTATTTCTTATTGTCTCCACATTACACTAAGACCAAACTTTTAAATCTCTTGAAATCAAGTTAGTGCTTAACCCTAATCACTGTTTTCAGTGCTTAACCCTAATCAGTATTGCCTAACACAAATCACAATAGTCAGTGCTCAAAACCTAAGCGATAAGGGATACTAAGTTGTGTAACCTTCATCAGGTGTCTAAGGACTTTTCGACGGATGTTATTGAGTGACAACCTTTCAATGTTGTGTTGAATTGCATTGTGGGAACGTTTTGGGGGGATAAATTTTGACCCAGTTTCCTTTGCAACCTTGTAATAGCCAATAAGATTGCGTTTCATTTGACCAAATCCGGATATTGCGATCCAAAATTGGATTTATCATTCCATTAAAGACTAAACCAATCTTAGATTACAATCTGAACGATCCACCTCCGCACTTGGATCCAGGGTTCGCAGGCACCTTGAAAGTCCTTGAATTTTAGAATAAAAATTCAAGGCTTTGAAAGTCCATGAAAATTGCAGTCGGTGCTGGAAAGTCCTTGAATTTCGGTGCTAATTTTATCCAACCCAGATTCTCAAGTGACTAAAAGAGCAAACACAGAAAGAAAAAAGAAAAAGAAAAATAGGATGGGTTTTTGAAAAGTCCTTGAATTTTTTGTTCAAAAAAGGGTACGAACCCTGTGGATCGTTCAGTCTGGTTTCTAAGTAGATCGTTTTCACTGTCACGCAACAAAAAATAAATTGGAAACCATCCAGTGGAAGAAGCCAAGAAAATGAAATCTTATAAAGGACTAATATATAAACAATTTCACGTCCAAGTCTCTGGTCTTTGTGGCCCACAGTTTCTGAGGTATTTGGCGAAACGTTTCACGCACCTTTGTAGAGCTTTCTATGGAGACGCCATGTTGGTGCACCAATGTGGCCGCCGGAAATCATCAATCATCAAAAACATCTGGAGTTCACTTTTTCTAAAACAGCTCTTTCTTTTCACTCGAGAACTAGCGTACGTGCGCATAAACGTATCTTCTAATACCTGAAATGGTTTCACTGCTGAAAATCAAGAGAAGAGACCTTTTTTCGACGAGACAGCGTTCCTATTTTGGTGTCACGCACTGTGAAAACTCGGAAGTTCAAATCGCTGTATTTTTGAAATTAAAGATGCAACTGGAATGGAAACTTGTACAAAGATTTATTTTTTATTTATCTTTAACCTAGTATAAATAAGAATTCGTAAAACCTCGCTATTTTGACTTTACAATTTGATGACGTCACTGTGAAAACCATCTATTGTGTTATTGTTTTGCTATCATTTTGCCACATTTAAATTAAATATATACATAAAATTCAGAAAGATGAGGCAAGGGAGCCCATGGAAGCCAATAAGGCTTATGAAAAGGACCACCTTTAAAAATTTATGACTTCATTATAAAATACTGCTATCGGCAAGAAAATTTAACTAAACATACACGATAGTTATAGATAGTTATAGATAACGCTGAACGTGCAAGTGTAAAAAGGAAAAAGAAAAAGTGAGAAAAAATAATGCAAAAATACGAGGAAAACAGCGAAAAAGTCCACGTAAGCATTAAGAGAAGTAAAGTATACTTATACCAAGAAAAACGAATGTAGTTTGGTCAATCTGGTCAAAGATTTTTGTTCCATTTAACGAAACTGCTTTTTGATCGCAAGAATGTCCTCGTTCATCAGGTGATCGATAACCATGATGGGTAAAGGTCGATTGAGGCAAAAATTATTTACACTCCTCCGTTGTCCTATTGAAAATCGCTAGGAACTCCCATCAAGAATCTCAGGAAAAATTGCGTTGGAAACATAGTTTTATCCTTGTGTCTTATACTGTATTGTTCCGTAACAGGTAGGAAGTGGGCCGTGTGAGCTGGCACAAGAGTACAGTCTTCTAAACGATAACGGGCTTCCTAAATCCTGACCATGAGCTCAACACGCGCGCCCAGCTTTTCCAAAAGGATTGGCATTATGCTCAACCGATTGCGTTATTCGCCAATTGAAGAAGGGCTCAGAGAATCGTCCGTTCCTAAGAGGAGGCAAGTACCCTTTTAGGGGGGAATTCACAGTGTGTCTGTTGGAAGAGAGGGGAGTGTATCAGAAAAGCGTCTTGACTTTTCGTCGAACTGCAGGTAGTACTGAAAGATGAAAAGATCGCAAGCCAGTTTTTTATTTTTTATTTTGTATTGCACAACTTGAACTTTTGTGTTGAGATCAGCATAAACTAACATAAATCGAACGTGAAAATTATCTTGTCCCACAATTTCGATCTTGGGTTTTTTGAAGGGAACCGTGAGAAATGTGAACCAAACCCCTGAACCCTGCCCCCATAAGACATCCGGGCGAAGTTCCCGACCTGAAATTAACGCATTAAAAAATCTGTGTTACCTGTTGTAATCTTGTTTTGATGTCATTTCTACACTGCCGATGAAAATCCATTCGTATTACTATACTGTGAAGATTTCCCTTGAGAAAAGTGCGGAGTTCGAGAAAAGCCAACGAAGGAAAAATATTTTAGTTCTTTTAATACTCCATTGTCATGGTAATGTTTAAATTTTGTTATTCGCCATTTGCACACCTCCTATAATCCACCTTGTTCGCCCTCCCGAAAGTTTTACCGCGTATTGTCTTCAATTTCTCTTGGGACGACTGTTATACCCAGGTCCCTAGAGCTCCGCACGCTTCAGTTAACTGTGCGAGTAATCATGCGATAGTCAGCCTATGAACATTTTCAAAACCAGTCAGTATCTCGCGTGCTACAAGAAGCTTACGCCCACCCCCCCCCCTCCCGCCCCCCCAAAAAGGGTTTATCTGATCAGGACAAGGGCTTGCTCTAAATTAACGCTCAAAGATTATATACAGTTAGTTTCATAAGATTATGATAGACTACCCAAAAATTCAGAAACAGTTTTTTCGATCAAAGATCGCAGCGATCAGCAGATCGTTTTTAAAGAACGTTAGTGTTTCAGTTGACAGGAAGTTTCCCAGCTATTGTTTTGCCCCATTCAAAACGTGCATGTCGGCTCAGGTACTCAATAGGACTGATTTTTATGCAAAAAAGAGCGCATTTGGTATCATTCTGACTCATATGCCGCTTTATCATGTTGAAGGAATCAAATTTATGACGAACTGATCATTCGGCTGCACCAAAATCATCCTTTATCCGTCCAATTGTTGTGGGACTTTCACCTCGTGTCCCTCAGTAACAAGGGACGATGAACTGATAACCTAGAAATAAGTATCTCGCATTAAAATCTCTTTGTTAAAAACTCGTTTTTTGGTAGCGCCACTCAAATTTAGCTGTGTCGGGCGGGGTTACAAAACTGGATGGGTGACCCGCGGCGAGTATCCTGTCGTGAAGGCCCCTAGTTAATTCTTTCTTTTCTTCTTCTTCTTCTTTGCTCTGTGTTGTCCTATTCTATTTTTAAACTTGTATTGAAAAGCATCTTTAGCATTGTTTCGGCCTCTGGATTTTTTTGAAAAATCCAAACTCGGTGGGCCCGCGTGCAACTTCAGTTTGGGGTAAAGTACGGAGCTGAAAGTTTGATTAACCGGCGGGGAAGGCACCAAGCTAAATGTGGGTTTTCCACGGTGTAAACTGAATTCCAAGGTGGATTCCAGAGAAGAATAGCAAGGTTTGACGGTAAAAAGACGAACTGAAACGCACTTCTGACAAACATATCGCGCGACCTGAACAAACTCGTCGGCGAAGTGAGACGCCCTGACAAATGTTCTTTCATCTCGATTTTCGATCTTATTTTATTTCAATGTTATCTGTAAAATACTTCTTCGGTAAAAAATATCTCGCCAAACCCATTTCTTGATTGCGAAAACGGCCGGAAAAACAGTAAAAACAACGGACCAAGTTTGTTGCTTGGTGACATTATTGCGGACATCAACGGGAAGTTAAAATATATACAGCTATTTCGAGAGAAAGGTTGTCGGAAAAAGTCCACGCGACAATCCGGAAAGGTGTTGTGGGTGGTTTGAATGGGGTGGATTAAAGATGTTTTTCGCTGACTACGAAGCTACTAGCACGACCCTGAGATGGATCTTAACCTTCTTGGTTCAATACCCAAAGTATCAAGAGGACACGCAGAGGTAGGTGGACCAAGTGATCGGAGATCGAAGACCCTCTTTAGCTAATGACCGTAACAATCTACCTCTCGTTCAGGCTGCGATTTTAGAAGCGCTCAGGGTAGAAAAAAACATGGTCCCCATGGCAGTACCTCACGTTGCCCTCCACGGTAGAACGCTACAGAGTCAGTCCACGTGGATCCCAAATGTTGGGAAGACCCCACTGTCTTTAATCCGTACCGCCATACTGACGCAGAAGGTAACCTGGTCACAAACCAAGGTAATTTTTGTCCAGTTTGCGCTGGTGAATCTGGCTAAAATTGAGCTGTTTCTGTTCGTGTCGTGGCTGATTCACAACTTTACTTTCATTGCAGCGGAAGGGCATACTCCAAAAGTAAAGGCAGTCTTTGTCCAGTTTCCTGTTTGTTTTAAGATTCGTGCTATCAAACGATGGTGAAGTGTCAAATACAAAGGTTTGTCATGAATGAAGAAAATAGCTACAAGATGTTTCGTAGTTTTTAAGGAAATCCCAAGCTATCTAAGAAGATAAAAACATAAATAAATTTCAAAGCGTCCGATCGCGTAGCGCGAGGCTGATTTTAAATTACGGGCTCGATTACCCCTAAATTGTGCGACACGAAGTCCTATTACCAATTAATAATATCAATGACAAAATACTTGCTAAAAAGGATGTTTTAATAAACTCAAGTTAACATTTTTGATTTTGACTTGCAGTTTGAAAGCTTTCTAAATCAGCTGTTTCTAACAAATTGACAAATTTTAAGGAAAAAAAATACGTCTGAAAATATATCACTGCTAGACCATGGTTTTCCAGACGTAGCAGGGCAGCCCACAGAACTTTGCATTTTTCATTGATTTTTGTCGGTTTAGAATGGCTTAAGCAATTTGAATTTCATTGGCTACTGGTATCTTTTACTCACCTTTCATTGGCTACCCAACCGCCCGATTTGACCTGTCCGATTACAAGTAGCTGGTAGTCGGAGAGATCAAATCGGACAGTTTGGGTACCGGTATTGTCCATTTAGAAACAAAAAAAACTCTCGCTAAGGACCAATTAGGTTCAAGAATTTCGTTTCATAACACAGCGCACGCTCTTACCCTATCTAATTCCTATTGAGCCATCATGTGAAAATTTCTATATACGTAAGCCCGTACGTAAAAAAGATGAAGTGGTTTGCTGTGTTTTAAACTTGGATTTCCATCGTTTGCTTTCCAGAAATTATATCAGTAATGGGAAAAAAGAGTGAGAAACGTATAAAATTTCTTTGAACTGAAATTTTACTCTCAGAAAACGTAAACTGGGCGAAAAAAAACTCTGTTAGAGAATTGGTGCCTTCTCACAAATTTGACAAATTTTAGTCCGAATTGTAGAAGTTTCTGACGGAAATACTTTGAGCTGCAAAAAACCGCCAATTGTCTGTGAGAAAACGGCTAATGGTAAAAATTTTCAAAATATTTTACACTTGTTTATTATGCTAAAAAATACTTTACCTTCTCAATAGCACTGTGCAAGCGTTTATGTCATTAAACTTCAACAACAATGTCACAAATCTCTTCAAAGTAGAAAAACAATCAAAATACAGGTCGCTTCTTTTCAAAACAACTCAGCAATTCGATAAGTACAAGTCTTCCAACCTTGCTCGCAAAGACAAGGAATTCGGCATACGAGCTTCTTCTTCTCCAAGAAAAAAAAACAATTACAAGGTTTCTGGATATTGCCAAGCACAACGGTGGTGAGCAGGTCAGTTGTGGGCTGACATAAATACCGCACCGCGCAGTCACATTATGTCAAGTGAACACACAATATTAACAGCATTGCGCAGTCACGTAAATAGTCTATAAGCAATGAATAATAAATGAAATATAAGTATTGTGACTAAAGTTCAAGTTTATGCAAAACTGTTTCGCATTTGTGGTGAGAACGATGCTGAGAACGATTCAAGTGGTCCGTGTATGGAAAGAAAGATTTACTGCGGCGAGAGTTTTGAAAAATTTTTTTTAAGGCACTAGAGTAACACTAGAGTAGGAATTGTATACACAGGATTTAAGATGTTTTGAGATTTGTTTGCTATGTAAACCTAGGTAAGGTTAGGAACAGTGGAGACATGGTTGTTTTGCTTGTTAATACTTCTGTTTATAACATCATTAATTGCCTTGAGGGTAACTGTTTTGAAGAGGCTTCTCGACAGTCTAAAGTTATTTACAAAGCCAGTTGTTGGGACTGCAAAAATTTTTAATTGTTAAAACTAAACGACGGCTTCATAATAGAAAAACTGAGCATTTTAAGGCCCTAGCTAAAAATGATTATAACATAGCTAGAATATTTGCCTAATCAAATTCAATAGCGCGAGCGGGCTTCATATTCCCATTGAGCACGCTGGTGACTTCAATAAACTATACCTCGAGTTCTTGTGAGCTTAGCAATCCTCACAGGACGTCTCCCAAGTGCATCCATAACTTAACAGTACACGATGAATCGTTAACCATGTGTTTTCTAACGTAAATTTAAGAGAAAATTTTGAATTCCGATCGTAGGGAAAAGAGGTGAGTGTTGTTGTTGTCATCTGCGGAAGCTGTGCGGGCGATGGCGTGTGCAAATCATTCTTTGCAAAGTTATTTCTTTTAAAAAGAATTTTTCGGTGATTTAATAGTTTTCCGGCACCTCAATATGGATTTCATAATCTTTTGAATGTTATCTTAAGCGACTTGAGTAAACTTTCTCTCAGTTTCAAGACAAAAACAGAACTGTGAGGTAAAAAAATATAGTCACGTACACATTGACGCGTACTGCTTGGGCGCGCGCCACAATAATAAAAATTTAAGTTAACCGCTGCAGTGATCGCTTTGATAATGTTATAAAACAATTAGTTCATGCTTCATCTGTGCGTATGTCGACATATTGAGCACTTGGGAAGTTTGGAGAGCACTCATGAGGTTAGAGTTGCTCTCGGTTACGCCTCGAGCAACACTTGCGCCTCTTTCGTGCTCTCCAAACTTCCCAAGTGCTCAATATCTCGACATACACACGCTAAAGCATGAACTAATTGTTAACCAGACATCAGCCATTGCTGAGCACATCAACACTACTGGACACAACATCAAATGGCGGATCATTTTGATATCTTAGTGTTGAGCAAAACTGATTATCACTATAAAATAAAAGAAACATTGCTTATACAGGAACTCAAGCCAGCTTTCAATGTTAACATTACTAGGGAGAAGCTGAGTCTTTATTAATCAGCAGTTTCTTTTTATAGATTAACTGTTAAATTTTTTGCTTAATCTCGGTCCCAGTCCCCTTTTCACTATAGCATAAGAAAAGTTTTCAAAATTGTAACGTGTATGTTGAGTAGCATACGAAACTTCATTTTTACACAAATTAGTAAGTTTAATATGTTTATCACCGTTGTTTGTGTTCTATGTCTTATCAAGCTCCGATGGCCCAAGAACAAAAGTCTTAATGATACTCTTGAACATTTTCAGAGATCATTTCTTAATCCATTTTAATCATAAACAAAGATAAAGAATAGTAATAATAATAATAATTTTGACCCAAAAGCATGGGTTAACCCCTTCGAAAATATCCAAGTGTCCGCACCAAAAATCAAAATCTTCATAAGTTGGCCTTTTTCAGTTTTTTTAGCAGTCTAAAACATTTTCAGAGTTTATTTCTTAAATCATTTTGATCATAAACAAACATAGAAAAATCATAAACAAAGATTTAAAAAATAATATATCAATAATTTTGACCCAAAAGCATGGATTGACCCCTTTGCGAAAATCGAAGATGGCTGCACCCAAAATAGAAAATATCCCCATGTTCTCTTCTTTCAGTTTCCTAGCACTCTAAAACATTTTCTGAGATCAATTCTTAATCCATTTGAATCATAAGCTAAGCTAAAAAAAAAATTAATTTTGACTTAAAGGCATGGGTAACCCATTTGCAAAAGTCTAAGATTGCGGCACCCAAATCGAAATCTTCCTAAGTTGTCTTTTTTGAGTTTTCTAGCACCCTAAAACATCTTTAGAGATCATTTCTTAATCCATTTTGATCATAAACAAAAATTGAGAAATTTTTCAATTTTGACTCGAAAGCAAGGGTTAACTTCTTTGGAAATATCCGAGATAACCGCACCTAAAATCGAAATTTTTCTCAGTTGTCTTTTAAACTTTTCTAGCATTCTAAGACATAACCAGGCATCATTTCTTGATCCATTTTGATCATAAGCAACCATAGAAATATTTTTTAATTTTGATTAAGACTGACGCCTGGCGGCCATCTTAAATTTAGTTGAAAACGGTTAGCCTATGATTTTGGTTGAAAATCTGAAATTTTTTCTTTGTTTTTGGCAAGAAGTGATGTTTGGTCATGTATTAGAGTGATCACTAAACTACCTCGACGAATTCCTTCGATTTCTATTCTGGCTAGATGCCACTTGGTTTTTCTTTTTTTTTCCCGAAGGTGCTAGCCAATGATTTTAGGTCAAAATTTTGAAATTTCTTTTATTGTTCAAAGCCACGAAACCCTGAGGGCCAAATCTTTGGTCATTTTCAATTTGTCCAACAATTTCATCTAAACAACATTTATTGTAAAAAGTTTTATGAAAGCATGTAGAGAAGACTAGAAAAGCATTTATCTTCTGAAGACAACCCACCAAAGAAGAGATCTTGAGGTTCAAAGATTCGTTAAACGGCGGCTTAAGTTAGACTTCGTTTAAATATTTGGCCCTGAATGTCTTTCATCTGGTTAAGTTTCTGAACGGCTAATATCTCTCGTCGCCGAGAATATCGAGAATGGTAATCTAACTTCCTTTCTTTTTAAAGTCTTTTCTTAAATCTTGTTTTGCGTCAAAACCATCGTTCCATTCACTTAGAGATCTTTTGAGTTGTTTTCGTTCTATCTGCATGCTTGACCTAATTGGCCCTATATCAGTTCTTCAGTGGACCGTTTCACTGGCGTTCTTAAAAATCGCTATCAATCTCGAGCGCTTGATAAATCTCAACTTTGAATATTAGCTTTGTGTCGACATCCGCCACACACCTGGCAAAGTTTCCAAACGTAACCCAGTTTTTGATTAAGCTATAACAATGTATTTTCCCTGTTACCAGAAAAGTCCTAGTTTCTTACTTTGTTGAAGTGTTCTGATAAACTGAACTTGTCGTCTGTATGCAATTCACAGCTAGCGTAATAACAGTTGTCTGATGTTTTTAGGCTTATTATCAGCAGAACTTCCGCGAAATAAAAAATGTAGTCTAGAAGGAAAAACATGGTACGGGTGGCACAACATAGCGAGGCTCCAATTAACGAAAAGTCAGTCATATTTGAATTTACTACATTAACTGGTAAAGCTATGTCTATTAATTACAAAATATATATATCAAATATAAGAAGACTAAAAATATAACAGTATTTATGCATTGATTTAATAAGAGCAT